AAAAAAAAAAGAACTGTACTGATTCAAGAAACATAGGAGAACTATGCTAAGCTGTGGAGGAAAAATAAGTTCATTGCTTTGGGATAATTTGAGTCAACCACAACAATGAATTATAGTCATAGTTAATATAAAGTAATAAAATTCTTTAAAAGATGTAGGCTTGTCATGTTCAGTAGTCTTGTTAATCTTTTAGAACTTGGTCATTTTTGTAAGTGACCTTAATTTTGCTTTTTTGGGACCCATTTAAATGCTTGAATATATGTAGGGGTAGAGATGTACTCTCAGTGGTAGAGTACTTGCCTTGCATTCAAGAGGCTGTGAGTTCAATTCCCAGCACTGCAAATAAAATAAAGTACGATATATTTAAATTAATTTTAATGTATTTCATTAAAACAAAAATAAAACCTAATTCATATTTAATAAGTCATGATAAATTTCCTTCCTCCTTTTTCTCAGTACCAAGGTGGCAATGGCTCAAGTCCAGTAAGAGGCATACCTCCTGCAATCCGTTCTCCTCAGAATTCACATTCACATTCCACTCCTTCCTCATCTGTAAGTTTTTATCTTTTAGTGTTCCAGAGGTTATATACATTTCTATTTATATTTTATTGAACATTTCTGTATAAATTAGCATTTGCTTTCAGAAATTTCCGTGAGGTAAGTTGAATGATCTGATGCTATTAGAACTTTATTTTTAGAAGTGAGCTTCTTAAAGATTTCATGAATTAGATTTTAAGTTTTCTTCATTTTAATTTTATGAAAGTTTAATACCTCAGAAAAATAAAGTTGACTTTCAGTAATTTAAAGATGAGTGAGGGCTGGTAAGATAGTTCAGTGGTCTAAAGCGCCTGCTTAGGCACGTGTACAGGGACCACGGTTCAATCCCAGCACCACAGGCTGCACCAGCCTTGCTCCCAGGGCAGGCTGAGCTGGCCACAAAAAAAAAATAAATAAATAAAATATAAAGGCTCCCAAGCCCCATATATAAGAAAAAAATAAAAATAAAAAAAATAAAGATGAGTGAATAAGTCCACACTGGTTGGTAAAGCATACTATAATCACAGTGCTTAGTAACTCATGAGGCCAGGCAAAACTACTAGTAAGTTCAAGTTTTGCCTGACCATCTGGTAAGAGACTGGCCTCATAGTGAGAGCCTGTCTCAAAACAAAAACAAAAACCAAACAAATAAAGATGAGTTTAAAAATTTAAAACCAGTTTCCCTTCCTCATTCAAGCAATCTGTTTTTATTTTCTGTGTTTTCTTGTCTGTAGAAATAGTTTTGTTTCATTTGTTTTATTCCTTGGCACAATACTTTGGGATGTACAAAATGAGAAGACAATAGTAACTTTTAAGTAAAGAGATCTGATGATAACATTGATACACTATTGTAATCTGCTGCTTTTAATGAATGTATTTCACACTAATGACTAGGTAAACCATAAAACCCATTGATAAATTGGTACCAAACTACTAAAGGGCATGCAGTAATGTCATTACTACTAAGCATTCTGTATAAAGATGTTTAACTTTTCAAACCATAATTATCTGTTTTAGGGAACAAGAATATAAGCTCCTTGTGGGCAGGGAATTTATGGTTGTAGCTCTCACTGGGCCTTACGTTAGGAGGTACTCAGTAGATGGGTGTTGAGTAAATGGTGATTGTGTATTACCTCACTAAGCAGAAAACTTTTCTTGCTAAGGTAGAAATTTTATTACTTTTTTTTTTTTTTTTTTAGGTTCGACCGAATAGCCCTTCCCCTACTGCATTAGCTTTTGGGGACCACCCTGTTTTACAACCAAAGCAGTTATCCTTTAAAATTACTCAGGTAAATAGTAACATTTTTTTCTATTATTTTTTAGGAAACTAGTGACCAATTTTGTCTTAACAAGTACTTATTTTAAACTTAATTATAAAGTAAACCATCAAGAAAACTAACTTATTCATGGAAAACAGCTTATAGAGAAGGGAATATTAAATTTACTATCAACTTGTCCTTTGTTAAACACTGGCAAATATATAGATGTTTGAAGCATGTCAAATAATCAGAACAACCATAACATCAATTCTCTTTGTTAATCAGGAGAGATTGTGAGTGCGTGCGTGCGTGTGTGCGTGAGTGTGGTCTCACTGGGTATTAAATCCAGGGCCAGGGCCTTGAACTTGGTAGGTAGTCACCTAATTCCTTTTGAACTTAGCCTCCATTTATATTGAATTGAGGTCTTCATGATGCTGCTATGTTTGTAAGTAGACATTAAAACAGTTCATTTGAGACTAGACGCAGAGCGCCAGTCCGGCGAGTGAGTGAGACGACCCAGGGCCTTTTGGATCCTGAATAGACCCAGAGCGCAGGCCCGGGGCCACAGGATCTTGAACAGACCCAGAACGCAGGCCCAGCGAGTGAGTGAGACGACAGGGGCCCGCGGATCCTCATTCGACCCAGGCTGCAGGCCCAGCAGGGAACCCTTCAGCAGAACTCCCTGCAAAGAGGCTAGAGGCAAGACCCACCCAGCTGATTCAGGAGCAGAACATCTTGCCAGAGAGACACAAAGGGTT